CAGAGATTAAGAGGTCTGTAAGGAATCTCTGAAAGTCTGTTCTTTCTTTGTCAATCTTTCATTTTGGTTTCAGTGGGTGCACAACATATTGGAGAAGAAAGCCGAGGCTGATCGGATTGTTTTCGAGGATCCAGATCCCGATACTGGTTTTGTTTTGTTGCCCGATTTCAAGTGGGATCAAAAGCAGGTAAATTTGAGGTGAATCAGTGTCATATTATTTAAGGGTGAATAAAAGGCCAGTGAAAAACAATGAATGTTTCCTTTCCTCTCCAGCTACAAGACCTGTATTTGATTGCTATCGTCCACCGGAGGGATGTTAAAAGTTTAAGGGATCTTACATCAGAGCACCTGCCGTTACTCACAAACATTCGCAGTAAAGGAGAGGTGAGTAATGGATCATATGAAAATCGAAATGATTTTTCAAAGTTGTAATTAAAACAAAGATTAATGCAATGCATTTGACAAGAAAATACTATTTCAGTCTTTCTTCTTCAAAGGTGATTCAATGTTTTATTTGCTGTTTCTTTGAAAATAATTGTGTTAATTGTTCCTAGCAGTTTCTGAGTGAGAATTGTTTCTACATCCTTTTTTTTTAGTGTACAAATGACTTTCTTCACAATGAAGTAGAGTTGTGGTTCTGTTGTCCACTAGATGTCACTGGTGATCTGAACATGTAAACCACTCTTTTGCCTTGTCCAAATACCCACACTTGTGGTCTTTACACTTGACTACTTATATGACGTATTTCCTGTATTTGATCAAGTGTTCAAGTGAACATGAAGACCACAAGTGTGTGTACAACTTTTCATTACCTGATGGGACACACTTATAGTGTTGTAAAAATGCAAATTGTTTACAGAGTTGTATTATTATTTTCAATACTTACTGCGTTTTAAAATCAACTTCTAAATGTCTGTTCAGTAGTCCCTATAGATGCCAATTTAATTAAGTGATAAAAAGCAGTTGCAAATGTTGTACGAAAATAAATAGACTAATCTTTGCAGCAATAAAAATGTGTAGCACTTTGTTTTACTACCAAATTATATGTAATATCTTATTATTATTCATATTTAACTTGCATTGGAAAGGTTTCCGTGACCTCTCCCGCGATCTTGGCAAAAAGTCTCACGATTTATTTCCAGAACATGATGCATGATGGGATACACTAACCAAGGGGACAGTCTGCTTGTCCACTGTCTGCTTGCTTTTTAAAAACACTTGGTGTAGTGGTTACCACATGTGCTCTAGATATTTTGAGCTGTAGTGATCCTGTGGAAAACACCGGTTCGATTCCAGCCTGCAACATGTTGCAATCTCAACCCAAAATCCCTAAAACAAAATACCAACACTATGAAAATCACAACACTGGGTTTTTCCAAGTGCATTTGTGAGCTGTAGCGTGGCTGCATACATCAAATTCAAATTCAAGTCTCGTCTATATCTACAGTCTATATCTACAGGACGCCATTCAGCAGCAGTACGGCATCCCTCAGAGGAAACTGCGCATGTATCTCCACTATCAGCCATCATACTATCACCTCCACGTCCATTTCACCTCTCTTGAGTTCGACGCTCCAGGTTGTAGAGTGGAAAGAGCCCACTTGCTTTCTGATGTCATTCAGAACTTGCAGGCAGATTCCAGTTACTATCGCAACCGCAGCCTGGCGTTCCCGCTGCGGGCCGATGATGGTTTGCTCCTCAGGTTTAAAGAGGCTGGGAAACTCTAGAGACCTGATTTTTGGGAACCTTTTTTATTTTATAAATGTTAAGTACCTGTACACTGCTAACCAGTTTTGAAAAGATTTATTATTACTGTATACATTCAATGTAATATGGTCCTGTTTTGACCTTTGTCTAAAACCGGTTCGATTTTGTCATCACCTGCATTTTTATTAAAGTACTGATTGTTTTTAAATTGTTCGGTTGTGTAATGTCTGTTTTTCATGCTGTGGTTGATCATGTGGACGCAACCCAAATTCATCACCCAAAACCCCAATTGTTTCATCAGGCTGTGCACCTGTCTGTGGTGCGACATGGAAATTCATTTTAAAGCAGAATTTGAGCCAGTGGGGCCCCAGGCCTTTTTCTTTGAGGTTTTAGGGATCCTTTGAAGAGATTTGGCTGTGACTGACAGAGCAGCAGGCTGCAATGAAGCTTCTGCACTGTTTTTAATTCTTCTGAAGAAATGAACAAAACCTAGTGGTTTAATATTAGTCCAAGACGCATGAAGAGTAAAATATGAGTGCAACACACCTGGTACAGTTTCTGCTTTCCAGAAAGTTCAGCTGCAGTGAGGTGTATAGAATTTTCTTAACAAACATAGTTCTTTGGTTTGGAGCTCATTGTAAATCCAGGGCTAGAGAGAAAGAAAAAGACCAAAACCCCTTGAAGAAAAAAGACTGACTGTTCAAAGTTTGTTTATGTGCTGCTTGTTTATGTGGAGTTTTTAAAGAAGATGTCACTACTTTACATTATACAATCACAGTCTTACAATGCCCTCTATTCACAGGAAATCACAAAACACGATAGAATTATTTCTGTTGGGATATCGGCTCAAGCAATACTCTTTAAAAGGACAGTTCACCTGAAAATGAAAGTTGTCATGAGTCCTAATCTGTATTTTGGCCTGTTTTCTTACAAAAATCTATTGTACGGATTTAGATGACTTTGAATATAGCACTCAAATTGACTGTGTTTTTGGTCTATTTGGACCTAAATGGCCATTAGTTTTGAATCTGTTAATTTTTTTGTGTTCCACAGAAGGCGTTGGTTCTGGCTAAAATACGAGTCCTCTATCCTATGGTTTTCTCTTGTGGAAAAAGTTGTCTCATCTGAATCAGGAGAAAAATATTCACAGATCAAACACCGTTTACAAGAGAAAATGGTTCTAAACAAATATAGAACAAGTGATGGACTTTTTCCACTGGAGGAAGTGTTATTATGGATTATGGACTCATATTCTGTCCAGAAGCAACAATTTAAAGTTAAAACGCCTTGATGGATTTGTTTCTTACAAACATACAGCTTTTCGCTTCACATCTTGGATGGCCTGAGGGTTGAGTACATTTTTAGTTTTGGGTTAACTATATCTTTTAAGCTTCACATTCAGATCGACCTACTTGATTCATATTGAGATGATTTATAAGTTAGAGACTCTGTCATCTTTGTGTTTTTCCTCTAATGCATTTGAAGCATGCCATAAATCCCTTTGGAGAAGGCCCTTAGCATTGGTACTGGTACAATTATAACTAATTGCTTTCTTTCCTTAAGGGTTTTGTTGCATGGCCACTGCTAATTTCAGTGTTGTCACTATAACTAAATCACTCATGTGCTCCCACTCATGTGGCTTCAGTTCCTTGTTACATTTTCATTAATTCTAAGTAATTACCAGGTCTTATTCAATCTTGCTGCCAAACATATCACAGCAGATAAGTAATATTTAGACAGAAAATTCCAGAGAAGAATGTAAAAGTCCTTAAGAGATTTTAAATGGCCTTACGGAGGCTCTTCAGAACAATTACATAATTATGCCACACAAGTGCTGCTGTCAAATAGAGCCACTCCATCTCCATATCACTGTGCTCTGCTCTCCAGTTCAGAACAATGTGTTTT